GGTTTAGGGTTATAGGGTTTAGGGTTTAGGGTTGAGGGGTTCAGGGGTTTAGGGTTCAGGGGTTAGGGGTTTAGGGGTTTAGGGATTTAGGGGTTTAGGGTTTAGGGTTATAGGGTTTAGGGTTGAGGGGTTTAGGGGTTTAGGGTTTAGGGGTTTAGGGGTTTAGGGTTATAGGGTTTAGGGGTTTAGAAGGGGTTTAGGGTTTAGGGTGTCAGAGGGACCCATTCAGAGTACTTAAACCCTGCAGCCCTGTTCGGCCCTATTCTTAAATTATGATGATAATCATCATGATTCTATTTCTATTATTGTATTGTTATGCAGGGAGGCACGAGCAACGTCCAAATCGCGAACAGTCCGCAGCTCTAGCTTTTCATCGGCAGCTCCTGCAAACCGATCCGATGGCGACATTTATACTTCCGGCCGGTATACCGATGCCAAAATCGGGCCATAATAGTATGATCTGACTATATCTGACCCAGCGCCGCTAGATTCCTCCTTAAACCGGCACCCTGGAGGCCTGAAAGTCCCGGAGACCGGCGGCATACTGCGAGGTGAGAGCATCCACTTCGTCCTGCAGCGGCTCAAAAGAAGTCGCCTTCATCGCCGACTTCCCTGTGCTCAATCCCCACATCCCTCAACCCGAAACCTTCACTAAGCTCATGCCGAGGAGGCCCTAAACTCTGTAAACCCTGTAAAACTCTGAATCTCCACAGCTCCAGACCCCCTGAGCTCTGTGTACGTAGTACATAGACGTAACTTGTCTAAACTAGTGTTTAGACTATTGACACATAAACTTCAAATACTCACAATGATAACTGTCACAACAATAACAGAGCAGCAACAACAACATGTATGATTCTAGCAATAATAACTGCACGGCTAAAAGCCCACCAAGCACAGCCAGCTAGGAAGCCCAAACCCTTCTATCTGACGGCAAAACATGACATACCAAAAAAGAAACCCAAAACTAAATCCTTGCACACGGAGGCTTTTGGAGTGTCTGGTATGTTGTTGATATGGAACTTTCAAAAAGCAAGGGACGCCAATGGCTGAAAAACGAAGCCTCAAATGCTGAGATCCAGGCTGCCGTAGAAAACAGGATCACCTCAACAATAAACAAGCAACGCCGAAGGAAAGTAAGCCAAACACCTTAAACCTAAACCCACCCTAAACCCTAAACCTGAATCCCAGAAACCTGCACGTGTCCTTGCTGGACGTCATCATTCGGCTTGCGGCCTCCTCGAGGGCAGCCTGAGCCTCCTCGGCCCGACTTCCGAGGGTTCAGACCCTTTTGGTTTAGGGTTTAGGGTTTTTCAGGCTGTAGGGGGGTTTGGCGCAGTTTGTGTGCTGTTGTGTGTTTTTGTTTAGGGGGCCCTTTTCTGTGCCAGGGTTTTGACCAGGTTTCATGGGGTTGAGAGTTCAGGATTTAAGGGCTTTCGGTTTGAGATGATCTTTGTTTGTTACTGCTGCAGCAGCAACTGCTACAGTCGTTAGCTTAGAGCAACGTTTTTTTCGGGACTCTTTTGTGATATATGCTTTGTTTTTGAGAGGGAGCCTCAGAACACCGCTTCTTGCATCGCTTGACTACCGCCGCATCATGTAACCTGACTTTCTGTACCTCGTGGCAATTTAGGGTATGGCTGCCGCGCCTTGCAGCGCTTCTGGCAGACGTAGTGTGGAGTGGCCTCCCATGTGGGTAGTTGTCAAAATTATGGTCCCTTTTGGGGTACCCTAAATAATAGGTGCCGTATTATAATAAGGACCCAAAAAGGGACCATAATTTTGACAGCCACCCATGTGCAAGCCAGCTATTCTGGCGACTCTCAAAAGCGCGGCAAAGGGAGGGCACACACGTTGTGCTCAGCCTGCACTTCCCAAAGCCTACAATCCCGGCAAGCACGATTCCCCCCATATTTATAAGCCCTAGAAAAACCTGTTTAAAGACCGGCACGAAATTCTCCCTGCTCTCGTTTCGATCCGCAGCTCTTTGCCAGGCTCCAACTCTTCAGATGCCAGGACCTTGCAGCAGGGAAAGGGGTGAAATAGTTAGGGCTTAGGGTCTAGGGCTTTTCGGTTTCAGGGTTTTTTTGGGTCCTGGTTAGAAAGCAGATCTGAGAAGACTGAGCCGCGGACTGTCAACGCACCTTGCTTGAATCGCAGCTCGCAGTTCGCCGTTGCATCCGCATTGGCTTCGGGGATCAGGGCCAGCGTGGGAAAAATGCCTCCGGAGCTCGCGGCACCCGGAGGGTTGGGTAGCTGCAGTGTCACGCGGTGCTCCTCGAGAAGACAGCCCAGGAGGCTGGGGGACAAGGTGCCAAAAGATCGAAAGAACGACTCCAGTCGCTGACCCAGCAGTGGCAGCAGCTGGGCTCGAGGACTACCGAGCATCAGCTCACGTGGATCGGCGACCCTGCCGAGCGCCCCTGTGATCAAAAGTGCAACTTCTTTGGCTGCAACGTCCGTGTTGCAGAGGCCGGAGAGCCTCTCATGCAGACCCCAGCCATCGGAGCGAATCCGGCGTCTCGCCAGCTCTCCCTGGCTCCAGCTGTCGCTTCCCTCTGCAAGGCCACCCAGCGGCCTAAGGAGCAAAACCAGGCTCCCTCGAGGAGTGGGGCTCCTAACACGCAGTCGGCCGCCGCTTGCTTCCAAAACCCCGGAACACCACCTGGGCTTTGAGGTAACCAGGGAGAAAAAAGTATAGACTTGTAGTTTATAATGGTTCCTTTAAGGAACAGGTCCCAAAAGATGTATTAAAGTATGATACTCCAAAGCCCAGCCACTCACTTCCGGGCAGAAGGCCCTCCAGCAGGCTTTCCCAGAGGCCTGGCTTGCCTGATGTGCGACAAGCTTGTGCATTCAATCTTTGTGAAGTCAATCCTCTGGTGTAGAGATGTCTGCTAAGGGGTTTCCATCATATCAGATGCCATCGCAAGAGGCGTAGGTTTAGGTGCAGCTCATTTGTTTGGGCTTGGGGTTGCGGGGGTTCAGGAAGATTAAACGTGCCCACCTTGGCTTGCCGTCAGCTCGGCAAGCGTCTCTGCATGTCGGTCCAGCTTGCTGCAAAGGTCTGCGCACGACTTCCGAACCGTCTCCGGTACCTGGAGATTCGTTTTGGATCTTTCTGTCGGACTTCGAGGCTTCAGGGTTTGTTGTTGATAAATGCTTTCATGCACTCTGCAAGCAGCGAACTCACAGCAGGCGGGCATCGTCAACCACTGCGCTGTCAAACCTCAGCTAAGTCCATCGCCGGCCTTCTGCTCATCCAACTTCACTTCCGCGAGCAGGCCGAGGCTGGAACGCACGGATCACTTGCCGAGCTGCATCGTGCTCGCCTGCACAGAAACAAGCACTTTGCATGATCACTTGGATGAGGCAGCTGAGATGCTCGTGCTGGGCTGACCTGTGCTGGCTAATGCAGCGGCCAGTCGATGGACGGCCTGCCCGACTGAAACCATCACGTTACCTCTTGTCGCAACAATTGAGATGCTCTTCTAACCAAGTGCATGACGTGCAGTAAGCAAGCGCGCAGCAAAGGCAGGGACCTTGACGGCAACTGCCCATGAGGGTCTGAGCCGAAGGCAGGAGACCGCTGAAGCAATAGCACCTCAGCCAGCATAGACTGCTCCACAGGTTCCATACAAGACAGGCCCATACAGGGCCCCAAATGGCCCGAGACGCCAAAGCTCTAAACCCTAATGAAACTTTGTCAGCCCCGAAAGGACGAAGCTGTCTGCACCAGGGAGGTCGAGGATCCGACAGTGCGGCTGGCCCAAGCAGAGCCTGCGCGCAGGCGAAAGCACAGGTTGGCCAGATCTGCATAGAGTCGCCATGCTTACTCATCACATTCATGTCTTCCGTCAGAAATCTCGATATATTTTGTCGTTTCAACTGGGGTTTAGGGTTTGGGGCTTAGCATTTAGGCATTAGAACAAGATCTCCATCATCAACAGCACCCGACCTGCAGTGCGCCAGATTGCTGAAGATTGCCGCCACATCGGCCAGGCAAGGATCAGAGGCCGTCGCCTTCGTGTAACCTCACTGGCTTCTAGATTCTAGGTTCTGAAACCAACTCCACGCGTACTGCCATGAAATCCAATGACATACTTACATGCATACCTACAGGCAGACAGACAGACAGACATAAACATGTGGGTGGTTGTCAAACTTATGGTCCCTTTTGGGGTAGGTGCCGTACTATTTTAAGGACCCAAAAAGGGACCCTAATTTTGACAACCACCCATGTATTACTATGATTGGCTGAGACGGCGGAGTGGGTGCTTCCACAGAAAGGCAGCCTGGCCTTCTACGGCCGCGCTGTAGTTCTGCTTGTTGTACCTCCGTCAACAGTCAAGGCAATGCCTTAGGGTTTAGGGTTTAGGGTTATGGAGTTCAGGTTTTGTGGCTGTCTAGAAAAAATCAGGGTCCGGGCTTATTTTTGACGGTTCATCGCGCAATACATCGTCTGAGAATCACGTACGACATCTTGCAAACTTGCGGAGAGCCAATATAGGGGCCTTAATAATTAGAATATGGTTTCGGGGCCATTTGTAGTATAACCGTAATAAGTAACCCCCCAAAATAGCATAGGTAATTATTAAGGCCCCTATAGTAATTCGCCAACTGACACACGACTGGCACTTCCACTTGCTATTCGGGCACTCGGCATTCGCGGCCTCCTGCCAGCAAAGGAAAACTAATGCTTCTGCAACATGGGGCCCCTAAACACCTGACATATGTTTTCATGTAATTGTTGACATCCAAATACCTGGAATGCGGCCGCCTTGGCGACTTCAATTGCTCGCTTTGCGGCCACTGCATTGGGAGCCGCTGGAACGGCACCCGGACCTGCAATAATCGGGAGTATCAAGATCTTCGACAGGTAGGCGAGCATGATCGCAAGTTCTTCTGGCACCAAATGATGAGCTATGAATAGGTGTCAGTAAGCCGAACAGAGCGAGGTCACGTGGATCTCTCCTCCCTCCATGCTGCACAGGCATCTGGACGCGTTTCAGACACGCCTGCGACAGGAAACGGATCTTCTTGCCTGCGGCAGCGAAGGCTGTGGAACAGGAAGCAGCCCGACATGTGACGAGTCTCCAATCCTCCACCAGCACCTGGTTGCAAGGGTTGAAATCCAACTCAAGCCTGAACTGACAGCTGCTACGTGCCATCCTTCAACCCCCCAAGCAGCCGAACCCTTGCAATCGCCCAACACGCCAAGACGGCGCAGGAAACACCATGGCTCAAAGTCCTCCGTCGTTTAAGTGAGCCCAACTCTCTCAGACCGTCAAGCCCTCACAACTACATGACCCGAAACAACACCCTGCCCCATCAAGTCCTACAGTAATGCTCTAACCCTAAACCCTAAAGCCCTCGCCCCATTGCCGCAAAGCCTTAAGTCCTAAACCCTACCGGCTCCTGAAACCCTCAGAACCCCTAAACCCCTAAACCCCTAACCTATCTACACCCTCAACCCTAAACCCTAAACCCCTAAACCCCTAAACCCCCTAAACCCTAAATCCCTAAACCCCTTAAACCCCTTAAACCCCTAAACCCCCTAAACCCCTAAACCCCCTAAACCCTAAACCCTAAACCCCTAAACCCCCTAAACGCTAAACACCTAAAACCCTAAACCCCTAAACCCTAAACCCCTAAACCCCCTAAACCCTAAAAACCTAAAACCCTAAAAAAGCGGCGGCCTCGGTGAGCTCCGCCTTTTCCGGGCCGGCGGAGAATTCCTCGGCTCGGCCGGCCACAGACAGAGCGGCGAGGCCTGGAAGGGGTGGGTTTAGGGTTTAGGGTTTAGGGCTTAGGGCTTTAAGGGGTTTAGGGGGTTTAGGGTTTAGGGTTGAGGGTGTAGATAGTTTAGGGTTTTAGGGTTTAGGGGTTTAGGGTTTAAGGGGTTGAGGGTTTAGGGGTTTAGGGTTTAGGGTTCAAGGTTTTAGGGCTTTAGGGGTTTGGGGTTTAGGGGTTTAGGGTTTAGGATCTAGGATTTAGGGTTTAGGACTTGGGGATTAGGGTTTAGGGTGGTTTAGGGTTTAGGGTTGAGGGTGTAGATAGAAGGTTTAGCGTTTGGGGGTTCAGGGTCGGGGTTTGGGAGTTTGGAAGGCTTAGGGCTTAGAGGGTTTGGAAGCTTTCGGGCTTCAGGTTTACAAGGTTTGGGCTTTAGGTTTTGAGGGCCAGAGGGTTCCAAAGTTTAGGGGGTTTGGTGTGTGGGGCTGGAGGGCTGTAGGACCTTGTCTGCGTGTTTACTTTGGTCTTGAGCTCGAGCTTGTCAGACCGCGATTGAAGGACTTTCATGTGCACCGTGCGGGGGTTTTGGGGGGTTTCGAAGTTTCGGGCTTAGCTCCTGTACCTGTTTCCTGCCATGCGCCCAAGCCTTGGCGGGCTCTCTTTGAGGCTTCGGACCCGGAATCTGGGCTTCTTGGGCTTACGATAACTGATGGATCACATAATCACATGGAACACGAACATGCCAGCGTGCAACAGTGAGACCCTGACTCCTTCCAACCGCATCTGGATTTCACACTTCTCGCACACCAATCTTTTGCTGAGAGTAGATCCCTAAACCCTAAACCCTAAACCCAAAACACGATGATGATGGTGGCCTCCGGCAGCCATAACGTAACGAGACCAGGCCTGCCGATCAGGAGCATGCCACGAGCAAGCCATCGAAGTTCTTTGCTATCATGCTCCGCACTGCCCTATATGGGTGGTTGTCCCTTTTGGGGTCCTTATTATAATCTGGCACCTAATATTTAGGGTACCCCAAAAGGGACCATAATTTTGACAACCACCCATATGAAGTGCATAAGCACATACATGTGTTTGTAGGCATTTTTCACAATGCATGTATGCATGCAAATTACAGGTGTATAAGGTTATGTCTTCGTGTCTTGTTTACACGGTTTGAGTGTTTGAATCAGTGTTGAATATGTTTTGAGATGTTGCAGGTTGTAATCACAATACGGTAGCAAACAGCCACCATGTGCAAAATCCGAACATCGTCCTCGTGGTTTTTAACCTTTCTATACTATAAACCCTCAGCCCTAAACCCTAAACCCGAAACCCTAAACCAGAGCTTGAAAGGAGCTGGCCTTGGCATCGTGCACTCGAAGCTGTAGGGCCAAAGCTGCATCTGCCACGGCGGCGTCGTAGTCTCGCATCTTTAGAAGCGCCTGGCCGCTCACAAAAAACCCTAAACCCTAAACCCTACTAAACCGTGTAAGGCTTCGGGCCAGGGCGTGGAGATTAGGGCTTGGGGCGTGGGGGTATCAGGTCCGGGTGTTGGGGGTTTTCGTTCGTTCGATTCAACAGGCGTTATGCATTGTACGCCTCATGTGTTGCATCATGAATAAATAGCTAAAAAATAATTTACTTTAATCATCAATAAGCAAATAAATAAATAATATATATATATATATACATACATACATACTGCAGTCTGACATCTGCCTTTCCGGCACTGCACACAGATGCTCCGCTTCTGTCAGCTAAGTGGGCCTGCCTGGCATTTGCCACGGGCGGAACACATGAAACTCGAATGCTCCAGAGCCTTCGTCATGAAGGTCTGCACCGAAATGCAACTTTGCTTCAGCGGAACTTCGCAAGGAGCTCCGTGCATTAGAAAAGAGGCACCCAGGCCCGTATTCAGCGAAGTGAGCCTCTCGATGGCCCCCGCGCTATGGGCGACTTCACGCAATCGCCTCGCTGCTTCTTGACCAGCTAGAGTTTCTGCAAACAGTCGCTTCTTTCATGTCCTTTTAGGCAGTTTTCCTGAATCTGTCATATCTGCGCCCATCCTTCCCACTTCAGACAAGGTACTGAGATTCTCGTTGGCGAACGCCCTGACAACACTGCGACTGCGATTTAGAGCCGGCGGGACAGTGTTTAACAAATCCCAGTCAAAGGGGCACCATTGAGAACAGCAAAAGACCCCCAAAATACCCCACCCCATGCAGGGCTTCAGAACGACATGTCAAGGTGCTTGGCAATGAGAAAAATATTCTCCCGGTTTCAGCGGCGGGTCATGGGCTGTCACTGCGACATGCACCGGGTAGTCAAGATTAGAGTTTACGGTCGAGGCTATGCGTTTCTCAGGCGTGAACCGAAACCACTAAACTAGATCGCCAACAGAATAACGATTGAGCCCCTCTTTGTCTTAGAGCCCAGGAGTTTAGGGGTTGTGCTGGCAATACTGTTACTACTACTACTACTACTACTACTACGACTTCTTCTCCTACTGCGACTACTACCACGACTACTACTACACAAAGGGTGTTTGGAGAATGCTCTCGAAGCACACCTACGAACCTACGACCAAAGAAGTCCACCTGAATCGCAAAATTTTAATTCGCCTTGCGCCTTGGCAGCGGCCGACGCGTCAGAGCTTCCCGGATCCCCCCTCCCCCCTCACCCCCTTATTCGAGGGACTCTTCAGCACAAAAGCCGAACAACCACCAGCAAGGCGGTCCCCAAAACCAAAATCGAAGTCGAAGGTTAAGCAATCCCGTATGCCGAGAAAACCGGCACAAACACATTTTTTTGTCGAGGAACTCACTGCCCCGACAACCACCCCTGGAAGCTAGGACTGATTAAGTTATGAGGTCCAGGGAAGGAGGATTGGGTTAGTGTGAGAGTAGTCAAGGAGTTTGGGAACGAAAAAGCCCGCTCGGTCAGCATCGGAGCCTGGCTAACGCAGAACCGGCACCGAGCCTGACCCAAGAACTCAACAAAGAACTCCATCCACCCGGTATCTGAATCCCAGGCCGAGGCGGGCGACGCAAAGCGTTTAAAACTAGATTCAACTGGTCTGTGTCATAAGTTTATATACCCACTACTATATGATGACTATATGTTTACGCAAACTAGATGTAAGGCAACCGTCGCCTTATACGGTATGTGTATATATATATATATATGTATCACCACTATTGTACGTTAATAAAGATTGTGTGAAAGAGTATATAACCATATGATATGTAGTAGTCGCCTTTTCTGATATGTGTGGGGGTTGCTCATGGTTGCTCGTCTAATATAGTTGAAAAAAGGCACGCATGGGTCTTGCATGAAGCAAAATTACACGTAGGGAATACCAAAAACAACAAACATATATACATAATTATATACATAATTATATACATACATACATACATAC